ACTGAAATGTGCATATGAGTCACGTGGGGTTTTGTTAAGAGGAGATTCTGACTCAGTAGGAGCAATATCTATATGAACATATTCCTGGGCTGTACTATCTATCAGTAGTAAGAATGTTAGATGAAACAACTTCAGTACTTTCTTCATGGTCTTTGGAGCAATTCGGATAGTCAGTGGGTAGAATGGTTTTGTTGGTATTCGGTAGCAGCTCATGAAGTGGGAATACGTATTTGCCTCTGTATTAGCATTAAGAACCAGGTACGGGAGGCAGACAACTTTCTAACTCTTCCTGAGACAGATCTTCACATGGTAGGTATGTTATTTTGTTTGAGATTTTGGAAATTCTAGGATATTTTACCTAGTCCTTTTCAAAGCTAATGTTTTTCAAAGCAAATCATGAGTTATTTGGGGGTTCTGTTACCTGTGGGTACATGATAATGATTACATCCTTTTCCCAGTGACATGTTCTACCTCTTGATATATTACATAGGTTTAAAAAATAATGTCTCTTAAATGCGATTGTATGAATATTTTAATACCTCTCTCTTGTGTACTGTGCCATTTTACCTAGCTTACTAAACAGTTTTATAAGAATTAAGTGTCATCCAAGAAGTCTTTTGAGTACTATAAAATGTTATTACTCTATTGTGACCCAGATAAGGGACAGGTAGCTATTTTGAAATATAAGGCCATTTTCCCATTGAAGTTGAGAGCTGACCAACTCACATACACACTCAAAATGAAGGAACCTATGTTTATCTGCTTTATCATCTCATTCCCCAAAGACTTCCAAATCTTTGAGTTAGTTTTGGAAATTACAGAAACAGAGAAAATATAAACTTTGCTTTGAAAGTGATGAGTAAGGATCATGAGAAAAAAAAATGTTCAATATCTATATTTTTAAAACCCCAATAATGGTTGAAAGGTTAAAGTCGGTGGTGGGCTGGTAGGCTAAATAGCAATCTTAGACAGTGAATAGAGAAAAATTGAATTGATTTAAAGAAAAGGGAATGGGGGATGGGGATATCCAAAGGGAAGGGCTACACAGCACTAAGCCAAAGGGTATTGTGTCTATGATGGCAACAAAAATATGCTTGGAGCAGTGAAACAAGGAAGGACATCGAAGACACAATAGGAGAGCGTAGCCTTGGCTGCTTTGATTCACTAGGAAGTTAGAGAAAAAGGGGCCTTGGAGACAGGTTTGGGATGAGCTGCTGCTGCCCATTGCTCCCCTGGCTGCAAGTCTTATGGGATCCCTTAGAGCAGTGGTTCTCAACCTGTGGGTCGCGACCCCTTTGGCGGTCGAAGGACCCTTTCAAGGGGTCCCCTAAGACCATCCTGCATATCAGATATTTACATTACGATTCATAACAGTAGCAACATTACAGTTATGAAGTAGCAACGAAAATAATTTTATGGTTGGGTCACAACATGAGGAACTATATTTAAAGGGCTAGAACCACTGCCTTAGAGAGAAGAAGTGGCGAGGGAATGACACTGGGGTGCTTCCTTGGGAGAGAGGCCATGCTGGGTCCTTTTGTCCTGAGCATGTTTATCTCTCTCTCTTGCAGGTGGAAATCTTAGGGGAGGTCTCAGGGAGGATCTCAATAGAATATTCATCAGCTCTCCGGGTGTGCTCTTCAGGGTGGTGGTCTCCACTGTTTGGTC